ATCTTGAATTTTAAGCAATTATAGTTCATCCCATTCAAATGGGTCTATAGAGCAGAGCTTTATTCATGAGTTTGTGGTTAACTTTAAATAAAGTTTATAAAATCATTAGCAATTTAGGCTAACAGATTGAGACTTAAGTTTTAGAACAGCTGTGTTATTTATCAATATTTATTTAGCTACGTGCTAGTTATTTAAAAATCCGGTTTTACATATGTGCAGTATAGGTCAAATTACTTCAAAGTCTATTCAAGCAAAGATAGTCACATTTTCCTTTATTTGGCAAATTTTCATGGTAGAAATCTAATCATTTGAATTTGCTGCGTTCACTAGCAGAAAGCTGCATGTATTGCAAGTGACTTCTGTGTGAGCTGTTTTTTACACATTGCTACACTATTGTTATTGAACAATGGACCTTGTTGCCCACACAATTTCTCTGTGACTGCACCTTTTAATTGAAAACATGATTCTAAAACCAATTAGCAATTCCTTAGGAAATTCCTGGCTCAAAAACACTAAAGGCCCATTCACACCAAAGGTGACAACTACAACAATAAAAACCGTTCTAAATATTAAAGAATATCAGTGTCCAGACCACAATTAACAACGATAATGGCACAAGAGAAACAAAGTTTAAAGGATTTTACTCCAGCTGATGAACAATTAAAACAGCCAATCAGCGCATGCTTATAATAAACAACGTTATAGTGCGTTGGTGTAGAGGCTTTTATAGTTATCGTCATTATTGGTGTGAACAGTCCTTAATTCTCCTCTGGGATAATCTATGGTCCTCGGGGTGACGAGTGTAAATATTTTTACCTGAATCTTTCCAGAGCCGTCATCCACCATACCGTGCTGGGAAGCCATTTTTTTGTTGGAGTGTAGACTGGAGGCGTCAAAGGGAATCTGTGGAACGCGGGCAATGCGGCCAATGCTGTAGGCCTGGCCTGGACCTGTGGTTTGATCCTTATCCTTCCAGTTACTGAAGAACTGTTTTGAACAGTGTGGTCTCGCCTCCAGCTGGCATAAACCTGGATCTGATCACAAAAAGTTAGATAAACTGGTTAGAATTTGGCTTCTATGTTATATACTTCCATTAATAGGCTAGAGTCCGATACCTGTGTGTTTTTGGGGTAGTTCTTGTCTTTGACAAACTGCTCTGCGACCTTCATGGCTGCCTTACGTTCTTCAGTGTTTGCACTCGGTCCTGAAATGTTCAAATAGATGAAACTGTGATAAAGTCATAAGCAGCCATCAAAGGTAGTCAATATCTTTCACCCTGTAGCTTTAATTAATATGCAGTATTTGTAATATAAGGACTTTAAAATAAAATTTGACCATACCTTTCCAAAGAAAGATCTTGCCGTCCCCTCCATTGTCCAGGATGAAGCAATCGGTGGGATTGAGCATCTCCTGCTTGAAAGGGCAGCTCTGGGCCACCAGAGTTGTCTTCATCGAGCCTGCGGCATCAGATACCTAACCCGGACAAAACACACAAATGCATACATTTATAAAATGAATACTGCACAGATAGCATAATACAGTGCTCATGGTAACTGAGGCCACGTTTACACAAAGCCGGGTATTTATCAAAACGAATATTTTCCCCCTCTCTGTTTTCAAAAATAACATCGTTTAAACACCCGCATAAATACACCGTTGAGCGCCATCATATCTATGCCAAACCTATTGGCGGCAAAGTAGGGGTTAAGGATAAAGCCATGCAAGCCAATCAGAATCCTCAGAATCAACAAGAGAGAAACTAAAACGCCGTTTCTCCCAGTTCACACGACAACACATAACTGGCGTTTTCAGAAATCTCCACTTTGGCCGGAGTTTTTAGAAATAATCGTTTTCTGTGATAAAAACAGGGTTTTCGTGTAAACGAGAGGCCAATCCGCAGGGAAATATCTGTGTTTTCCCTTCGTGTAAACGGGGCCTGATATGTGCATAATACATAAATGTACCATGTAGAGTGATCCCTTCTTCTGATTGCTTCTGTCAGTTGTCTCATCGTCAGGACTTCCTGCTGGGATGTTGGGCTTGGGCCCAAGAGCCTGAAAATAAACAAATACAATAGGAGTTTCCACAGTTTACTCCATGGCAGAGGTCAACCCAGGACACAAAAAAGACCACAGAAGTCAAAATCAAAAACAGATGAACTGGCATTCTTCGCTGACTACAACGCTCATTATATTTACTATTTATTGTTTACTAATTTTTACAGTGACAAACTTATTCCAGCTTTCTGCTTTTTTTGCTTTTTTGCTTTTTTTTCTGCTTTCTTTTTGCTTCTGTACCTTATACACACTAGATCATGGTGCAAGGCTAGCAATGCTAAGGTCATGAGTTAAATTCTCAGACAATGCATGAACTTGTATATCCTGTAAATGTGTCTGCCATGTGAATGTTTACAGATTATTTCTGTTTAATTCATTTATCCAATGTCCCTGTTGTTACTAAAGCCTGTTCCTGTAACTACAAAGACGGTCTATGATATTTGGAGAAAACTATCTGGTAGCATTCCCATTCATTTCAAAGACAGTTGCTCAGAACTCCTGTTTTTTTTTTTTGTTGTTTTTTTTACAATATGATAGAGGCTGGTAGATGCTGTAACTGGATCATGCTAACCAGACAAACCTTGTCTCTTGGAACATACAGATAATGTAAAGGTAATGAGCCAAAGGTTGGGACTTAAATTCAGTTTGCAGTTGATAGTAACAAAGGTTAATAGTTTATGTGGATTAAAAGACTGAAGGAGTTCGGCACACATGATTAAAAAATGATAAAAGGTCAAAAAAATTAAAAAAAAATACATATATGCATGGATGAATTGCTAAAAATAAGACTAATAACATGATTTAACAAAATTGATGTGATTTTCCATTTCATGCCGACTTAAAATTCTTTCAAAGTGAGCTGTAGTCTGAAAGAGATGTTCTACCAGTTCATAGTCACTAGTATCCTTAGTTTTTTCAATTAAAAAAAAAACTAGAACAAACAAGATCAAGAAGGTCAGTGTCACTGGTCTCACTCTAAACTATGTTGTGTTCCATTAAATAAAGAGTGTGAGCCACCACTGACCATGTTAATTGTGTCTTGACTTCCTGCCACAGCAGATCCTCATTCTTCTTACACACTGCATGTTTAAACTTGCAACATACTGGCACATAGTTTTTTTTTCTTTTATAGAAGAAGGTAAGACTTACACTAAGGATAGCCTCAGGCTCAGAACCGTCCTCAACCATTTGCAGACTGGCACGCCCATTTCTCTCATTATCACGAATGCCAATTGCAACCTCAGATGCTTTCAACCGCTCAAAACGGTTGCATTCGCTCCCACACCATTGGTAGATGTCCTAGGAAAATCATAATATGATTTGTGAGGTTGTGAATTTTGGATTTCTCAAAAGGACAGCACTAAAGATTTTATTAATTTTCTGACCTTGCCGAGATCAACGATGAAGCAGTCTCCATGATTGAAGCTGGCCCAAGACATGTTCACCTCAGTGGCACGAATGGCACGTCGTCCTTTAACGTGAAGCACACGCTTCACGTTCATATCATTGGTCACCACATGCGTGAACCCAGAGGCTACACCACCTTGCTGTGTAGGGAAAAAATACAAAGATACATTATTATAATGCACAGAATTTTCCCTTAATCTGAAAGGGAAAATGTCACGTATGTAAAAGGGAGCTAAGAAATAAGTATCAAAGCAATACTCTATGAAAGTCAATTCTTATTTCATTATAATATGCCATATATTTGCAAGGGAAAATTGGATAGAAAGTTTTCACTATTGGTTTGAATGTGGTTTGTGAGATCCTCCTACATATTCATAGACTACTACCAAGAGCCGTAGCCACCATAGGCAATGATGTTGATGCATCCACATTATTTTTTGGATTTGTGGTCCATCAATATAGGATTTTTTTTTTACCAATTCTTACCCATTGACCTTAATTAACTTTCCGTCAAAGAGGCTTTATTATTTATTACTAAAATGTAATATGCAGTATAATGCAGTATCCAAGCATAGATAAAATTATATTAATTATGGAAGAATATTTTTGACCATAATACCATATTACATTTCCAATGAGAAAAAGGTTGAGTATAATTGGAGTTCTGAATTTAATATGAAGCATGTTACCAAAATGACCCCATTTTGTCAGATTTTTCAGCAAAAAAATATATTTTTTTTTCAATCATCTTTATGTAAGGGTTATTACCTTGTACTTAATTCCAGTTTTAAAGTAGCCAAGGAAGGTGACAGACTCATTGCCCTGAACCTCACGGTACTGGACTGGTGCTCCGCCCAGATGATCGTCCAGCTGCATGGCAAAGATGGCGGCAGCTCCACCTTCATCCTGAGAGCACTCATTACCTGTAGTTTAAACAGACAGACAGATAACCAAAATAAAAAACAGCGTCAATATGTGTTGCTGTATCTGCTTACATTCCTGATTAGAAATAAAACTTTTTAAATTTGGTAACTTTTACTCACCCAACCACATATGGATATTGTAAGATGGAGCAGGAGTGGTGTAAAGGACAACATAGGCGTCTCCAGTGTAGAAGTTTCCTTGGAGCTGTTTGGGGACCGGTTTCATGTCCATCTTCTCTATTCTCCAAATCTGCAGGCCAGGTGCTTTACCTGCACTCTGGAACTCCTTGTGGAAAACCATGATTCCTGGAAAATGCCGGCACAAGAATGTTGGGATTGGACTATTTTTTTGAAAATCAAAACAATTAAAAAACTACTGTGAGGGTGATCAAACAAATGCACAGTGCATCTTATTAAAGAAAACACCGGAATAGCAAGAGTCCTTATTATTTACTCATTTCAGACCAAGGTCATTATTCACATACTCTATAAGAAAATTACTGTACACATCCATTTCATTCAAAATGTGTGTTTTATATAAATATAAGGCAAATGTGTGCATGCACATGGAAAAAAAAGGCTAACTGAGAGTAATGCAGGGTGCAGGTGCACTTATTCTCAGGACAACATGAGAATGTGTGTATTATCAGTTGCATGAAAAATGTGATCAGCTGTAGGCTGGATGTACTCAGTTGAAGTACAAGTTGTGTGCAGCCCAGCAGGCTGAGGCAGCCAACAAATGAGTCATGCTGCATTATTACAACTGTGGGCAGACATGCGAGACCAGTTCCTTGGAGTTTACCAGGAAAAGTTTGATGCAAAACATACATTTTGCATGGGCTTTAGATCTGCCAGTCACAGATTCATGGTGTCAAATGATGTTGCAAACATAAACCTTGCAGTTATAAATTCATTCACTTTTTCAACCACTTTGAATCTAAAAACTCTTAAAACTATTCATTTATTTTTAATAATTTAATTCATATTGTATGTGTGAATTGTATACCTAACTTTTTAATGGAAAGTATGGTTACCACCATAGACTGTAAACAAGGTTACCACATTGTAAGGGTGTGTCTGATTTGACACACCCACATATTAAAATATAGCCGGGATTTTTAATAAAAAATTCAATTAAACGAGTACTATTAGACTATTTTTTAAGAAAATATAAGAACCATTAAAGGTCTACCTGCACATTTAGTAAATAAATGTTATTGTTTAATCTTGACGTTTTTATTATTCTGGAAAATTTCCGCGCATGATCACAGATGTCTGCAAATTAGCTACATAATGACAACTACATATTTATATTATATATATGTGAACATCATCAGTAGCCTATAAAAGCGGTCTGCACTGCAGAACTCCAAGTCCGCATCATCTGCCGTGTTTGAAACTGTTGTTTTTTTTCCTGTGATTCACTCCGTCATAAAGCGGGGATCTGCGTAGGCAATGCAAACAAAGCAATACAATCCTCTACCGTGAAACACCCCAAAAAGACTCCAGGAAGTTTAATACTTATATATAAAGTGATAACTTAGATAAATGCATAGTTTATTCTGAACTCAGCTGTCTTTCGGAGAGTCAATAAAGTAGGCTAGCCTACGAGACTACAAGTGATTCAGTTCTCTTACCTTCCTGGTCAAGAAAATGCACAGAAGGCGATGAAGAAAAGATGTGGTTTGAGAAGCTGCTCCGGGTTTAGTCCAGATTCAGTTTCACAAGTTTCAATGGATGCAAGCCGACTTTAAATCATCTGCCGTGTTTTAGGGGAGAGGCAGATGCGAGTCCTCAGCCAATGACTCTTTCTGTTTCTCTTCCCCTTAGGCTAAACTCTAAACCCACATTATGCAACTTTATGGCACGAAGTCATCTCACTCCCCCCAAACCAAATCACACCATAAACCAGAATTATATGCCTTATTCTTTCTTCTTAAAGGCCTATAGACACATAACAGTGCTACATTCATTACACATATAATTAAATGCATTATAAAAACTATATGGTGGGTGCATGCAGCAGTTGAAAAACGTCAATATACTTGATGCTTTTAGATTTTAGGTTTAAATTGATTTTGATGTTAAAGGAGATATGTTCGTAGATTGTGCATAGTTTTGGGTATGACTGGTATTTTATTTTTATTAATAATAATACAAAAATATTGTGCAAAATGCAGTTGTGGTCAGATGTTCTATACTTTCTCATCACCATAACACAACCATCAAGTTCAAAGTTGTATGTAGGCCTATTTTTCTTGTCCATTCCATGTCAATGTCAAATGCATTATTCATAATGTTGACAATGCAAAATAAATGTAATGTACTGTACTTATTTGAATGTGTGATTCATGTCATCCGGTTTACGGAATTGTAAATGTCTCAAATGCTATTTAAAAACACATGTCAAACAATTTTTTTTTAATAGACAACAATAATCTCCACAACAACAAAATAATAATATTCATTACTGAATAGGAGCATAAAGAAGACATAGTCTTATAAATGAATGCCCCTTTTTTCAATAATCTAAACTTATACAGAACAGATGGCTCGCCAATTTTTCTTTTTTCCTTCCTTTTATATATATATATATATATATATATATATATATATATATTACTTCAGTATTACTTCACATCTCAGCAATTAACAATTACCAATTTAGAAAAAACAAGAGAAAAAAACAAACAAACAAACAAACAAAAAATATGGTACACTAAAATTGCCTTTTCTTCTGTTGTTATTGTCTGTGATTAACATGAATTTATTTTTAATATGTGTTGGTACTAAATTGTTTTTCACTCTCCACATAATTTGTAGTATTTTGAAACTGACCAACTCTTTAAATTTCAAAGTCTGCAGTTTTATAAACACTTTATTTGTGTGGTCTCGTGAACCTTTGTTAGTCACAATTCTTATGGCTTTCTTCTGGAGTACAAACAACTTATCTGTATAACTGTTGCATGCATTACCCCACACTTAGTACATGCAAGGACAAAGAAAGGTGTTCACCTCTTCTATTTTCCTTTTTATTTATTGACATAATGTGCATTATGTGTTCATATACAGTATCATTCAACATTATTTTTGCAGTTGATAGTTAAAGGGAAGCATTGCTCCCACATTTAAGTTTAAGCTCACAACACATATTTCCAGTGAGGTGGCATTCCCTCATCAGTGAAAGTGAGACCGCACCTTTCATGTAATTATAGCTCCAGTCAGGTCTACATGTTTGTACTTCACGTACCTTAAATTCACAGTACAGCTAACAATTCCCATCCCCATGTCAGTCTAACCGTAATGCTCTCTGACTATATGCACAGCCCTACCCTGATCTTGCATTGGCCTCCTATCCTCCACCCAGCATTCATGGCTTTCCAATGTCATTAAAATCGCAAAGGCTTTCTCTGAGCTCTGCTACACCTGCAGACCCGAGAATCTTTCTCACAGAAGCTGGCAGAAACAAAAAGCCAGTAATATTTACTGTAATATTCTAGAGAATCTGAAATATTCCATCAGGACAACAAGGAGTGCCCAAGCTTTCTATTTAATATGCTCATCAGATCCACCCTGTAATGCCCTGAAGCTACCAATAGTATTTCTCAAGCATTCCATAAAGTGAAGGGAAAAGAAATCATAGGTGCATCTCTTGAGTTTTGGAAAGCTCAAGGTAAAATCTGCCTTAAGATTTGCTCAAAGGCCTGTGGATTCAAAACATGATGGTCTGACATGAGGACTGAAATGAGAGAATAAATGGAGGTGTGGCGTGATTTGGAGGAGTGAATGAGTCAGAGTGAGTCAGAGTCACAGGCTCTATGTGCTAAAGTTAGTCTTGTAGTGCATGGTGTTTCCCCAACTGTCTATGGGCTGTTTTCCATAACAGAAATATAGTGCTCACAATTATGCATAAAACAGATTTTTGTCTACAGGGTCGAAACTATGGTAACGCTTTAATTATATGTTTCACTTTAGACAATCTACTAACTAATAATAGCTACACTTTGCAACTATAAGTTTGTGACACAATTTGTCCAACAATGTCTAACATTACATGCATCACAGGAGAATTTTGCTAGGCTATTGTTGCCATTCTGAACTAACAACAAATGTAATTTCCACTTTTATGTTTTTATTTTTTTATCATAATCTTTCATGGAAAATAGCTAATATGGCGAGGGAAATGACTTTAAACATGCAAAAGTTTAAATACTGTATAAACCTTTTATTAAAATGACTCCTTTGTTTTGTTGAGGCTAACAATTGTTAAATCGCTCCCAGAATGTCAGACTAAGAACATACACTTCCTCAAGTCTCACCCTGAATACTGGTGTTCCACCATTGTAAAATTTTGCATATGATATAACAATCATTGGCTTGATCACGAACAATGATAAATATGCATACAAGGACGAACTACAAAATCTGACAGCATGGTATACCAACAATAATCTCATTCTTAAAGGTATAGCGGAGGATTTTCTTTTTCCGGGTGGGTAGTCTATACTATTGGTCCACCTAAGTGTCAATCATTCTGGTGATATGTTTACGTAAGGCCGTCGTAGGCTACGTGCTCATCCCTATGTAGTTTTCACTTTCAGGTGTATTATGTCGGAGTTACGGTTTCAGCCATTCCTTTGAAAATGGCTGAGGGTCGAAAGAGAAAAAATGTTTACTAAGTGTATGATAAGAAGAGAAAGGCCGCAGAATATAGAAACAAGACCAGAGAGATTTTGGGTGAATACCACACGCTGGCGTGCGCTAAAAGCACAGGTTGGGCTTCTCATTGATGCCGCAGTCGCGAAGATTCTACTACACAGGTAAAGTTTGTCACGCTATTTGGAGAAATCCATTTAAAATCACTAGTAAAAGTTAATGCAAGCTACAATGCTAGCCCTGGCACGAGTCATGGACCGCATAGACACGGTAAACATCTCAATTTGTCTAAAGTAGCCTTTTGTCCAAAATGGTAAATGGTATCACGCTGAAATATTCTAAAATCTTGTGTGTTTATTATTACACAAATGCAACAAGCTACTTCTCCATATGCAACTATGTATAAAAATAACGTATTAACAATGAGAGATATTAGGTTAAGGACCAACGTAATAGCACTGCTTATATGTTGCTATGTAACGTAATTGCGATTTGCAAAATAGTTTCCTCAGAACGTATTTCGTGTGATACAAGGTTGCACATATCATGTCTTGAGTCCTCGGTCACTCAATCGATCAGTATAATAAGTAAATAAAACACGGAAGGGCATTTGACATGTTGTCTTTTTTATGAATGTTTTTTAGTTAGTTTAGAATTTGGAACATAATTGTGCAAGGCGTATAGACGTTCCCTAGCTCTCGGGAGTAAGAGTGTTGTGTTTGTGCATGTGCATTTTTTTTAAAAATTGGAGAGGGCGGGTCTTCTCTAAAATTCGGAAAGATCCTTCGCTATACCTTTAACATCAAGAAGACAAAGGAGATAGTGGTGGATTTTAAAGACAGGGACAATTGATCAAAGTCCTGCGTTCATAAATGGAGCGGCTTTGGAGAGAGTCACCTCTTTTAAATTCTCAGGGTTGAACACTACAGAGGACTACACACACCTCCACTGTCATTGGAAAGGCGCAGCAACATCTTTATTTTCATTTTATTTCTTTACATGATGATTAAAGAAAGCAAGATTGCCTCAGAAACATCTTGTGAACGTCTATCGATGTGCAGGGAAGAGTGTACTGACATATTGCATTACATCCTGCCTGGTATGTAATTGTACAAGAGAGGAACAGATGGCTTTGCAACGAGTTACCAAAGTGGCACAAAATATTATCGGCACACAGTTACCTTCAGTTGAGGACATTTATTTGTCCAGATGTCGGAGCCGAACCTCCAAAATTATTAGAGATCCAACTCACCCTGCACACTACCTCCATGATCTCCTCCCTAGGAGATTCTGGACAATTACTTTCGTTCCACAAGACTGAAAAGTGCCCTTTTTTTGTTAGAGCTCTACAACTACTGAACACTCCCTGACTGGTTTCCATTAAATTTGTAATTGCACTACACACTTTAAAGGAATAGTTCACCAAGAAATTTGAAATTCATTGTCATTAATTACTCACCCATGTCTTTCCAAACCCCCCACACCATAGACTCCAACATAATTGTCACTTTCAAGACCCAGAAAGGAAGACATCATTGAATAGTGACGGTTTAACCTTAATGTTCAGGTGAACTGGTTTTTTATCTAGATTTTAAAATGGTCCTATTGAATCCAGAGGTGATATAGTTACATGTTTTGCTGGAATAACAGTAAATTATGAAAAAGCTATAACTCTAAAGTATACCACAACATTAACCCATTGTAAGTACATGTTAATTAATACAAGTCAGTGCTTATTTGTGTAATTGCACTGTAACAACACCACCTTAAAATAAAGGTGGGAATAAACAAAGAAACGTTGTATCCCTTATTTCTTAATATTTGAATGTTGAAATACAGCTAGAGTATGCAGAACCACAAAACAAAACCACTACCCTGAAGAGATGAATGCGTAAGACCAGTTTTAGACTCTCTGTAACTTATCTTTATAACATCCTGTTACAGGAAGCTGTAACATGTGTCTCTTGAAGCTGGTAGGCACGGCAAGGAAAGGCAAGTTTTTATTTATAGCACATTTCCTACACAATGGTAATTCAAAGTGCTTTACATAGAAGAATTAATTATTTTATTAAAATAATTAATAAAATTATATATTAATTAAAATAATCAAAATAAATAAGTATAATTAACAGTTTAGAATAAAAAAAAATAAAGTACA